TTTTGGGGGCTGTCCCTCCCCCGCCGGCGACACCTTGCAGCTTGATTAACGGGAATTAATTGCCGCCCGGATCCCCGCGCTTTCCGGGCGGTTTCCGCCCTCTTTTGCTGTCATTATCCCGCTGATGGGGCTCGTAATGGGGTGATTAGCTGCGGGAAGAGGGGGGTAAGGGGGGAGGGAGGGGGATGTCGAGGGGCTGCTGCTTTCTCCTCGCCTCCCCCCGCAATTAGCCGATCTGCCGGGCCCTCCCAGGCAGCGAAAGTTTTCCTGGGCGTTAGAATTCCAAAAAAAAAAAAAAAAGAGAAAGAAAAAAAAAAAAAGAAAAGGAAAAGGAAAAGGAAAAGCACCGAAACCCTCCCCGAAGCCCCAGCGCAAAGGCGGCCGCTCTGAGCCCGAAGTGAGCCTCGGAGCTGCGAATTTCGTTGAATCCCCTCGAAATGGGTTGTGAAGGAGCGGAGAGGTCCGTTAGCGCAGGCGGGCGCGGGGCCGGCGGGCAGCCAGCGCTACCGGAGCGGCGGGCCCCGGGCATCCTCCCCCGCCCGCCGCGGCACAACCGGGAACGCTCTTCCCGCTCTCCCAGCGCCCAGCGGTGGTACCTACTGGTGCAACTGGGAAGGGACCGCTCACAGGGCGGATTTTTCCTGCCGTCGATCCCGTTTTAAATAAAACCCCGATAGCTCCAGCCCGGACTGCCCGCCCTGCCCGCTCCCTGCCCGTTTCTCCCGGAGGCGCCAAGTTTCCTCCCTCCCGCCCCGTCGGGGGATTTTGCTGCTGTCGATCTCCCGAGCTGGAGAGGTACCGGCTCACGCAGGTCTCCCACCTTCCTCCCGGTCAGACTGGCTCCTGCCTCCTCGGGGGTTTATTTAGATTTTTTTCCTGGGGGTAGACCCTTCGCCGCGGAGATGAGGAAAATGTCCACACCCGGATGCGTGAAGCTGCGACACTTCGAAGCGCTGTCGCTGATTATTTCTCAAATACTCGATTTCCCCTCTTCTCCCCCTTCTCGGGCAGGCAGCTGCATCTTGTCCCTCTTCCAAAGCCGCCCTTGGCCGGCAGCTTGGAGGCGATCGAGGAGGGGAGAGCCCCCCCACACCCCCCCGTGAATCCCGGCTGCCAGCTGTCGGGCAGCGGCACAGTCAGGGCCCCCAACACCTCCTGCCCTCGGCCCTGCAGGCTCGGGGCCGGCTGGGATCGGGGCAGCGGAACAAAAGAGCCTTATAGGAGGATAAAACCGGGACAAAAATCAGCATCAGCCCCGGTGGCAGCCTGCCCCCACCCTTGGGGGGGTGACACGCCTGATGCTGGAGGCTGCTTGTCCTCCCTGTCCCTGGGTGAAGGATCCCTGCTGCTGCTCGGCCCCGATTCCCTCCCAGTACAGAAGTGCTGCCCAGTGCCAGGGACTGGGGGGACAGGCTGAAGGGTCCTGGTCTGCTGGGGGGGGTCAGTTTTGCAGCATCTGCCTCCCCAGCCAAGGCTGGGCCAGGTGTTGCTTTGGGTTGGACCAGAGCTACAGATGTGCAGGAACTGGTTCCAGTAAGAAACGGGACAGAGCCCTGGATGGGGTTTCCCAACTCTTTGCGGTGTGACTGTGGTGTCTCATGGGGTCTGGCAGCCTTCCTCTCCAACCAGTAGGTCCCATTTGGGATGGAGATCGGCACTGGGACCAGGACCAGCACTGAGGTTGGGTTTGGGACCAGGAAAAGGACCAGAAAAGGGAGCAGGGCTGGCATCAGGAGTGGGTTTGGAATCAGGATTTCAGCGGAACAAAAGAGCCTTATAGGAGGATAAAACCGGGACAAAAATCAGCATCAGCCCCGGTGGCAGCCTGCCCCCACCCTTGGGGGGGTGACACGCCTGATGCTGGAGGCTGCTTGTCCTCCCTGTCCCTGGGTGAAGGATCCCTGCTGCTGCTCGGCCCCGATTCCCTCCCAGTACAGAAGTGCTGCCCAGTGCCAGGGACTGGGGGGACAGGCTGAAGGGTCCTGGTCTGCTGGGGGGGGTCAGTTTTGCAGCATCTGCCTCCCCAGCCAAGGCTGGGCCAGGTGTTGCTTTGGGTTGGACCAGAGCTACAGATGTGCAGGAACTGGTTCCAGTAAGAAACGGGACAGAGCCCTGGATGGGGTTTCCCAACTCTTTGCGGTGTGACTGTGGTGTCTCATGGGGTCTGGCAGCCTTCCTCTCCAACCAGTAGGTCCCATTTGGGATGGAGATCGGCACTGGGACCAGGACCAGCACTGAGGTTGGGTTTGGGACCAGGAAAAGGACCAGGAAAAGGACCAGAAAAGGATCAGCCATGCAGGGACAGGTTTGGGTTGGTGGATCTGCTGCTGTATTTCCTTCTCTTGAATAAAGCATCTGCCTTCAACCAACCACAAGGAAGTTTCCAGATCAGATCCACTCACTGATGCTGTGCAAGATTTTGGGGAATGTGTATGTGGGGCCCAATCCTCATTCCTGAGCAGACACTATATTTTGCTACCCCCAGCCAAGGCCCTGGGGACAGACACAGTCACTCACAGACCACACTTGGAACTCCCAGCAGCTACAGATGCACTTGCTACTCATGTTCTAGTGTCAGTGTGGCTGACATTAATTAATATGAATTATTGACATTATTATTATTAAGTTGTTTCAGAGCTAGTCTCCCCAAGGCAGAGACGTGCCCCATTCTCCCTGTATGTGGTGTCCTCCTACATCACTGGACCCTGGACAAATGGCATCCAATGATTTTTTCTGTGGCTCCCAGCCCAGGTGGGCAATCCTGTGTACAGACAACAACATCGCCTTCCTTGTGCCCGTCTGCACTTAAAAACCATTTCCTAGGCTGCTTCTGTTCACAAATACACAGGCAGGCACTAGAAAAGAGGAGCCCCCTGATGCCAGCTGCTTCTTCAGTTGCCTCCTCACAAGCCCCAGTCGCACCCTGGGGTTGACTCTAGGACTGACAGCTTTGGGAGCAAGAGTTAGTCTAGAAATATCTGCTGGTGGCGCACAGACCAGTATCCTGAAAGGGTCTGGCTTGGGGATGAAAATCCCCGGGGGCTGTTGTATGAATTTCTCTCTGAACCCAAGCTGTGTGCTCGGGAGGGCTGTGCCCAGGCGGGAGGGATGCTCCGGTAACCAAAGGAACGGGTCTTCGTGAGGGAGAGAAGGGCAGGGCGGGTCGGGGTGGGGGACACGGCAGAAAGCGGTGGGGACAGCCAGGCGGAGGGTCGCAGTGCCGGGGAGGAGCAGGGCCCGGCGGTGGGGAACCTGCAGCGGCGTTAAAACCCCCGTTACCGGTGGGTGTCACTGCAGGACAAGGAGCGTCCGGTACCGGAGGGCGGCGGGGGCTGCGCGGAGGGTCGGGACCCCGGGAACCGGCTCCCCCGGCATGGCCGGGGTAGGAGGAGGGACTGGGGGACACACACACCTGGTTTGCGTCTTGGTTGTGCCCCCCAGTGAGCTCGGCCACGGGCTGGGGGCGGTGGCCGCGATGGGGACGAGTCCGAGGTGGCACCTGGGGACTCTGCCCAGGATTTCAGGGCGCAGGGGGGCAGGTCTGTCGGCTACAAGCCCCAGGGAGTGATGTCTCCTCCTGAACACGCTTTCTTTGACTCGGCTGTTGCTTTTTTTGGGTTTCTGGTCTTTTTGGTGGCTTGTTAGACCATCCCGAATCAGTCTGCATGGACGTGGTTCACACTGTGTGTGTTTGCCAGCCCTTTTCCAGGGATGCAGGACCCACTGGAGATGCTTCCTGCCCTGTGCACACCCCAGGGACCTGGGCAGTTGCTGCAGGGGGACACAGATGCTGTGACTGGACCAAGGGCTGGACCTGGCTCCTGCCAGGCAGCAGGGAAAACCTCCTGCCTGGGCTTCTCACACACTCATAACAGTGTCATTTTTAGCAAGACGAGCCATTTTAAGGGCCAGCTTTCTTCCCCCGTGGGGAGGTGGGAAAGGTCTCTTGTTATAATCCACCTCTGCCAGCATGGCAAACCCTACTCTTGTCCTCCTCGTTATTTTAAATTGGTTTTATTTAGTGACCTGTACTAAAAAGAGAGAACTAAATGCCAGGGTTTCCCTGGTGTTGAAGCAGGTGATTTCTTTCCTCCCTCAGCTCAGGTGTGGGCAGGGTGGAGTTTCTTACAGCTGCTTCGTTATATAAAGGGCAGGTTGAGGCACAAGCTGCCCCTAAGGAGAGGGTGCTGGAAATGCCAGATCAGATGGTGTGGAGCCTTCCTTGTCCTGGGAGAGGTAGGAAAAACTGCCCCTGCAGTTCATTTTGTTCTTGTGTCTTGAGCAACAGAGTTTGATGTTATGAAAGACTCTGTTCTTTGAGGTTTAGGGTTTAAAAGTTTGGTTGGAAATCAGGTGAGGGGAGACAAGCCCTGGGCTCAGCATGGCTTCTTCATGTTCCTTGGCTGCTGGTGGGTCTGTGTAGGAGGGCTGGGCTAGCCCCAGTGCTGAGACATGTGGGGCAAAGTCATGCTGGGTGCATCTACCCACACATCTACTCTGGTGTGCTTGTGACTGGCTCCTTCCTGGTGCTGGGGCTGCCCAAGATGGCAGATGTCACCCCCTTGGAGCATGGTATTAATTCTTAAGATGAAGTGCCCTGTTGGGAGGTGATGGTTTTTATATGTGTTGGTACCTGTCTGAGCCTCTGCTGTCACCTGTTGGTGACCATGCTGGGGTCTGGGTGCTGTGATGTTGAGTTGGTGTTGATGGAGTTTGAGTTTGTTTGGCAACTGCTTGGAGAGGCTCAGCTCTGAGGGACACTGGCCACCAGCAGCATTTGAGGGTGAGTGTGGAACTGGCTGGGACTATCTTCAAGTGAAGGCATCGCTCTGTGGTGAGGTGTCAATTCGGCCAAGTGCTTAAAGCAGGTGTTTGGGTGCCTTCACATGGGCAAGAGCTTTGCTGAATCAGGCACTGATGGGAAACTTATTTGGCAACGAAATGGGAAGGACTAATGGATTATGAGATATTATAGACTTGATATTGACTCAGATATAGTTGCATTTAAATATATTTATTTGGAACAGGCTGCGAAGGCAACTGTCCTGCTTTCCCTGTGGGGCTGTACTGGTGCAAACACTGTCCTGCTCCTGGTGTGTGTGTTATTACCTTAAGCATGATGAGAATCATGGTAATCAGACAGGGTAAGGTGTTGTGCATCTGACGTGAAGCAATGAACAGGCTGAGACAGAATAACTCCTCTCAATATTTATGATATATTTGGCTATACCTGCATTAGCATAACTTTTTAAAAGCAGAGAGATATGGCTATGGCAGGGTCTAAGGGCTGTGGTGTCCAGCAGTGCTGCGGTCTCGCTGGGTGGATGCTCTGGGGAAGGGGACCTCGTCCTGCAGGCACTTCTCAATGGGAGGCACTGAATGCCTTTTTACGAGCGTCACAGTCTGGAAAAGTACTGAGATGAGGCCCAACCTATAAGGAAAGGAGCAGAGAGAGGATTGGTTACAGCCGGCCAAAGAAAATAGGTTGTAGCACAAACAGGGAAGAGACTGCAGATCAGCACAAGGTTTTTTTTGCCTGTTTGGGAGACCTTGCTCCATCTGAAGTTAAACACTTAACCTCTTTAAAATGAGGACTACTTTTCTGATTGACTTCAGGAGATTCTTATTCTGCTGTAGTAACAAGGTCCTGCAGTCTTATTATGGTGTGTTGATTGTCTGATGTTTTCAGATGCTGGCATGGTTTAAGATGGACCCTGAAATATATATGACTTGTTTTCTATGACACAGGACTTGTGTGCTTCACTGAGGGGGGCAGGACGAGCTCCCAGGGAAGCCCCCACTGGGGTCAGGGACTTGTGCATGACTTGCCCAACAAACACATGAGCAGCCTCTCCCAGGAATCACCTTTGAGGTGGGGAGGAGGTGAAAAAATGCCCCTGACAAATAAACAAAGGGGAAGTGAGAAGGTCCAGGGGCCCTTTGGGGTGAATAGTGGGTTTAGACACAGCTGCATGCGGCAAACCCGTGCAGCAGGGGCAGAGTTCCTCAGATGTGGGAGTCTCTTCATGGATGGAGTGGGTTTGCCATGGGGGCCCAGGGGCTTTACCTGCCCCTACACAATTCCTTGTGCCATCCATCTGCCTCCTGTGGATGTGCTGAGCTGCCTCCCGCCTCCCCCACCCTGCTCAGGCTGGCTGGATGTCAGGTTTTGCATATGTAAAAAAAATACATGGCAGTCTTTGCCCTGAAAAGCTTGCTAGTGATCTCATTAATCAAGACAAACAAAGCGTATTTAGCTATTCCCCCTCTCTGGAGGAAGGCGTTCAGGTACTTAAATATGCATTTGAGTGCCTAACTTCAGACAGTTGTTTCTGGATGTTTTTGCTTTCTCAGAAGCAGCAGCAGTGACATAACCCCTCTGCAGGAGGGAAGGGTGGGGAAGGCACAAGCAAGGGCTGCTGGAGTAGGTGGGCAGCCCCTGGGAGCTGGCAGGGACAATCCCCAGCTGGGCCCACTCCAACCTCCCATCACAGATGCAGGAGGTTTTCCCTCAGAGATGGGATTGTTAGAAAAATTCAGCCCTTGCAGGTGAGAACAGCTGAGCTGCTTCTCTCAAATATGCCTCTGCCTTCTCCATCGTGCTCCCTGCCCACCAGCACTGGGAACTGGGCAGGGGGAAATATCTGCCTGGAACTGAGTGGAAGCCACAGGGGAGGAAACAGCAGTTTGTTCACTCTGGTCTTGGTACAAAGCTCCCAGGTGAGAAATGTCACACTGAGCCACAACTGGCAGTAATTAAAATTAGCAGAGCCCTTGACAAAGTTGTGAGGGATGCCAGCTTCTGCCCTCAGCATGAGTAAGTGGGAAGCACCAGGTGTAGGACAGGGGACAAGTGCTACTTTAAAAAATGAGAAACCCCCTCATAATGAGGGACAGTTGAGAAGTATGGATTAGTCCCAGGCCAGTAATTAGAGTCAAGATAAGGGTGTCCTTGGGTCAAAGGTCTTATTTTGACAGAGACTGGTGTTGAGAAGTCAATGCAAGTGATGAATCCCCATCTCTGATTCTTCTAATTCATATTTTAAATGATGAACCCAAAGGTACTTCCTCTAGAGACAGCTGATGATCTTTACCATTACTCTGATGTGGTTCCGGGCTGTTACGCCAGGATTTTGTCTGAATTGTGGATGTGGAGCATTGGCTGTAACAGGACAGGAATACAGTTTGTAGGTACAAGCTTGGTGGTTTTCCTTGCAGGATGATGGAGCCGCAATGGTTTCCAGCTGCTCATTAGAAGCCATGTTTTCCTGTTGTTCTTTACCAGCTGCTCATTAGAAGCCATGTTTTCCTGTTCTTTACATTTATTATTGACAAATTAAAACCTGCAGGACATGTGCAGCTGGGATGTTGCAATGTCAGTGCCTGCCTCAAAGAATTAGAGGGGCAATAAAGAAAACCTTATCACTCCTAAAACCTAAGTGTGTATTTGGGGGTTATTTTCATTTGGGTTTCTCAGTTTTGCTAATGATTTAAGTTGGAGGACTGTAAATGATCCTTTGTCAGGCATTAATACAACCACATGTGTGTTGCAAGCGGAAGCAGGTGTGTTAATGGAAGGCCAATAAATTGGGTGGGAGATGCAGAAAGGCTGAGCTGGTACAGGGAAGGCAGAGCTGAGCTGATAGACTGAGAGAGCTCCTCTGATGGCAGCAGAGCACACACCCCAGACGACCAACCAGCATTTCGTGGGTGCTGCTGGTGTTGGGCTTGTCACCGTTGAGGTGGGTGCTGGGGTGCGTGTGCTGGAGCTGCTGGGTGCTGTGAGCACCCTTGGGTGGTCAGTAAGGTTAGCTTCTGCGGGGGGGTGGATTATACAGCTGGATTAAATGGTTTGTGGGAAGTTCTGAGAATAAACCCATGAAAAGGGCTGAAGTGATAAGCAGCACCAGGCTCTCCTCCTGCCCTGGAAGGATCCGGGCTCGGCTGCAGGGAGACGTGGCTGCGCCCGCTCCTCTGCCGGCACCTGCCTGGCTCTGCTGCCTGCTCGGAGGCAGCTCCACAGCCTTGTACCATTTTTCACTTTAACAACAAAGCTGCCCCTAGACTCAGCCTAGTTTTTCCATCATCCATTTGATCGAATCCTTTTAGCGGGTGACAAAACACTTTCTTGAGCTCTCTTTACAGGAAACCAATCTCTGTTCCTTTATAAAAACCTCCCTCATTTACAAGAGTCTAACAAATCCCGGGCCTCTTAAGTCCTCTCCTGTTTGGTTTTTTTTTTTTCTTTTTCCCCCCAAACAACACAAACTAACGTTTGTAGATTTTTTTTTTTTTTTTTCCCCAAACAACACAAACCAACAATGTTTGTAGATTTTTTTTTTTCAAGGTGGGGGGGAGGAAGGAGGGAATAAAACACACAATGTGGAGAGAGGTAGGGTGTACACACCGACGCACGCCGCGCCGAGCATCCCCGTACAGGCGCAAAACGGCGCGCGCGCATCGAGATGCAAATGATTTCCGTGAAGCTATCACTTGTAAAGCTTGACAGAAAATAATGAGAAACACTAAATCTTTTATAAGGTCAACACTCAAGCAGCTGTCAAACAAGAAAAGAATTTAGCGAAAGATCCGCAAAAACTTCCATCGCCTCATTAAATCCAACAGGGCCGGGGCCCGGCGTGGTGAGGAGGCACCGGGGCGCCTCCGTTTTGTGTCAGTAATTTGCGGCGGAGGAAGAGGGAAGACGAAACAGCCAGCGCCGAAGGGGCCTTGGGGGAGGCTGGGGAATCGTTAGTGCGCCAGGAGCGGCCTCGGCTCCTAATTGGAAGCATTGGGCATTATCAACGGAGGATTTGCCTCGGCTCCCTGACAGCTCTCTAGGCCTGGAATGATAGCCCACTTGTCAGTGTAAAAGACCATTAAAAACAAACCATTTTGATTTAATTGGAGGCGGTGCGCTGGGGGCCCAGGTGAGGCGCTTCATCAGCCGATGTTGGCTGCTGATGCCTTTTTCCCCCTGTATTGATGGCTTTTCTTTTTTTTTTTTTTCCTCCCCTCCCTTTCAAAAACTGTCTAGGAAAGAGAAAGAGGTGCTGAAAGATCCTTCACAGCTGCATTGAGAGCGGCTTTCAATAGGGTTGTCAACAAATGCCATGACAAGTTAGAGAGAGGCAGGTATTTTTAAAACAGACGTTATTCTGTCCAAGATGAGCTGCGCTTGGAGGTGTGTGTTGGATTATTAGGGTTACAAATACTGTGGCTTTTCCTGGTGGCAGTGTGCTTAACCAGTTTAATGAATGGGGTTGATTTTTTTTTTTCCTCTCCCCACCTTTCTAATTCCAAGAACACAAGGAAATGCAGGACAGGGGAGTCTGGGCTAAATGGTCCTTATTTGCCTCAAACCCAGGAAGGCTTCAAAAAGTGCTCAGCAGTTTTTGGCTGCTGTATTTAATGCCCCGTGGAGATTTGGGAGGTTTTGTTTTCCTCTTGAAAATAAGGGCTGCAGATGTTTGCTGGAGTTCACTGGTCACTTGGTCTGGGCAATAGTGTGAGTTGAGGAGAATTAACCCATTGGAGCTGTAACCCAGCGTGTGGCCCCCTTGGCAGATATCCTGGGGTCACACCAGAGCTGGCAGCTTCCACGTGGACCTCGTGTGTTTCTGAGATTTGAATCCTGACCCTTTTCATGCCAGGCAAGAGTTTTACTTCAAACTAAGTTGTCTGTTGGTAAATAGCATCCCTGCAGAAGGCAGAATAGGTCCATGAATGAAACCTCAAGTCCATTTAAAAAGTAATTCTGTTCTAAGTTGTCTGTTGGTAAATAGCATCCCTGGCAGAAGGCGGAATAGGTCCATGAATGAAACCCCAAGTCCATTTAAAAAGTACTTCTGTGGATTTATGTACAAAAAAGTAGGTAGCACCAAAAGCAATAGTAGGGGCTCACCCTACACAGTGTGTGTTGCTTCACCCTGCTGCAAGCACCTCAGATTTGTTCCTTCACAGGTGAATATCTCCATAATGGGAATGGGCACTGATTGCCAACAGTGACTTGTGTTGCCTTTGGACACCAGGGCTTGGATGTAGGTGGAACCTGCCCTGGAGATGGCCCAGGCCTTAAGGCTGTGCAGGGAGGGGTGATGTTTTCTTGTATGAGTCTGGAGATGTTGGAGAGCAGCAGAAATGGCAGAGGAATGATGGGTTACTGTGTTGAAGGGAGGCATAAGGAAGGGCTGAGCATGGCAGAGGGCAGAGTTAGGCTGTGCTGGAGAGGCTGAGAGTGCAGGGCACATGCAAAAGGACTCTGGGAAAGGCTGGACCATGGGAATGCTTTGTGATGATTTGAGCAATTTTATTTCTGGAAGCTTCACTGTTAGGCTAAACAAGAAAACCTGCAGAATCCACTAGAAAATGTAGTGATGGTGACTAGGGTCTGGAACCTGCATTTAGCCACAGAATGGCTGCAGTTTGGGAGGTGACATCTCTGTTGTGGTCCCAGTAGAGGTGTACAGGGCTCGTGCCCAGGGTAGCTGGGTCTCTGCTGCCCATTTGGAACCCTGCAGGGTGTTGTATTTTCTTTTTGCCTTGTGCCTGGTGTAGGCAGGTCAGCACTGAAGGCCACTGATTGTCACCCACCAATTCGTGTCACTTGGGGTACTGACCAGCCATCAGGTGACACTCATTTTTTTATTTTATTTTTTGGTCAGCTAAAATCCTCACTGAAGGGAGGTTGGACCATGGTGACAGAAAGCTCTTGAAAGCTCATTATTATTTAAGTACTGTTTAGGTCCCAGGAGACAAGATTTATAATGTTTCAACTCCATGAAGTTTTGCTGCCCTCAGACCTGGGAGGATAAATGCTGTCTCTGAAAAGCCAGCCCACCATGCGCTGTGTGTATCAAGCCCAGGTTATTTAAGCAGAATCTATAGCTTTTCTGACAAGACAACAGTTGCAAGATTACATGAGCTGTGCTTGTCAGTTCAGCTCTTTAGACAAAAATAGAGGTAAGGCATTAAAAAAAAATGTGGAACATTTTTTGTGTGTACGTGTTAAACCTCAACTGTTAATTCTGATGAAGGATCAGGCTGTGAGCAGATATCGGATCCCTGGTGAGAATCAAATTCTGGAGCCCAGAATTTTGCTGCAAAGTTTATACAGTGGGGATTCCTCTAATTACTTTCAGTGGAAATTTACCTGACAGAGCTTTCCCAGGTAACGCAAGGCATACGCAGGAGAGCCGCTCAGCCGTTGACAGAGCCTTTGATTTTGTGCCAGGTTGCAAATTAAGTCTTTTGCCAAGGTACCCGAACACTTGCTCGTCAATTGCTTATCGCTTATTCATATCGCACATCGAGTGCAGCTCGTTTCATCTGCTCGGGAAGGCAGCGCATGTTGACAAAAGTGTTGTCCAAAGTTGCTGCATTTTCTTTCCTCCCCCTGTTTGGTCAAGTAAACAAGACTATTCTCCCTGGAAAGCTGCCTTGAGTGTCTGTGCCAGCTGGAATTCTCTAATGAGCAAAGGGAAAACCCTGGTGGGTGTCGGTGGCACACGGTGCACGGAGCTATTTTGACACATGGGTGAATTCTGTCCTACATCACTGCTGCGTGAGGTGTTGCTACCAGAATCCTTCTGGATGGACTTGACAGAGCCTTGGAAGTCCATTGCAGAGTGGCCGGTGTTGACTTACTGGTTTGAATTGTGCCTATCAGATATTCAGATGGAGGTAGCTGGTGTCTCATCCTGGGCTGGCACAGGCAAGGCTGTGTGGGGATGCTGTATTTTGGCACCAACATCCTTTTCAGAGTTTGGTTGACACCAGGGATGCCATTCTGCCTGGGCCAGCATGATGCTAGTGATGAGTGACACAGGGACAGGACATATCCCATGAGGGCGGTGGCAGTAGTATTTATTTATGCTCATGCTGGTTGCTTGAGGTACAGTCCCCAGGGAATGTAGTCCCACATCTACAGATAAATGAGGTCTTGGTGCACAGTTCCACCCATGTTGGCAAAACCTGATCCTGGGAATTGTGTCACTACAAACAGAACAAGGCAGAGGCCATTTGGCTTTTGGGGAGACTGAGGAAGAGGAGGCAGTAGAAGCATCTTGCTGAGGAAAGTAAGGAGTTAACTTCTCTTTGGTTTTGTATTAAAAAAACCCAAAACCCAAGCAACTCAAATTCAACAACTTTCCCTAATGAACTGCCCATCAGGACACAACTGGCTCCCTGTGACCTGTTTGTCTTGGGGAGTTGGAGGGCCCAGGAGACCACACGCCAGGTCAGTCCTTCAGAGCGAGACACAGAGCAGGAGCCATCACCCGGTGTGGGAGAGCCTGTAAATGACCCGGTTAGCTTAATAGTGTGGGCCATTATTCTAAAGCAGTGGGGCTGAAACCTAAATCCAAATGAAAATATAGTCAATTTGTCTATACTTTCCTGATTGAATGACTACGTAATGTCATGCAGCCCTGGCAAAGCAGGGAGCAAGCAGAGGCAATTAGAGGGGAGGGCAAAGCTCCTTTGTTTTCTTCTCTTCCCCTCCTTTCACACACTCCAGCACAGTGCCAGGACACAGGCCGAATGGAGAGTCCAGGTTCAGAGCCAGTAGTGACATCCACACCCAGTTTCTGTAGCTCCCTGTAAGGGGTCAGGATGGGAATAGAAAATCCTTGTTGATTTCTATGGGTCTAAAGGAACAAAATCTCATCTTCCTGCTGTCCCCTGCTTTGGGTCACAACCATCTCAGTAGCTGGGTGCTCTGCATTGCTCCTCCCAGGCCCAGAGCAGGCCAGACTGAAAGGCATCGTGCCAGATGATGGGTTGACTGAGGGACCAGGAGGATGAGTGGCTTGAGAACATGTCACATCCCCATGCCTTGCACCAGCCTCAGGTCACATGAAAAAATAGTTCAAAGTCTGCTAACAAGCTTTGTGTAATGTGATATTTTTGTGGTTGCTTTTCCTACTGCTTTTTGCACAGCAGAATGAGAGCATTATATGGATTAAAAACAGTGTCTTGGTGAAATGCCTGGAGTGGTCAGTGCTAATGGCTGGCCTCTGCAGGCCATCATGTCTTAAAAAAGCCATCAAGTAGTTATCCAACTCTGTGGAAGAGCTGGAGAAAGGTTTCATGAGGACAGAAGCACCACAAGAACAAGCTCCCTCATCCCTTTGGAGCACTGCTCTCTGTTGTCACCTTTGTAAAGGAAGGATTGACAGAGTGACTCCTGGAGTCCCTGGGTTTGGTTGAAGGATTAGGCCAGTTTGTCTCACAAGACAGTTCTGCCACCACCTATCCAGAGCTCAGCTTTACAGATACTATTAAAGCACAGTTTGGAGGCTGCCAAATGTCTTTGGGAACCATTAAATTTCTCTGGGTTGCTACTGCTTTTAACAGGGTAAATGCTTATGGATGTTCAAGAGAACTTATTTTTCCATGGAGGAAACCACGTACTGAAACTCAACCAAACAACTAATTTCCCGATCCAAGTTCTAACATCAGCTGTGCCTGTTAGATCTGCAGCTGGGGCAAGGCAAATCTTCCAGGTTAATGTAATGAGAGAGGAAGAGTACAGAAAATCTGCAGAGGTTCTGCAAAATGAGCTGTCCCCCCTCCCTTGGATGCTGCTCCTGGGAAGGAAGGGGAAAGGCAGAGAGAAGAAAAGACTGGGAGGTTTGAAAGCTGTGGCTGGGGGAGGAACCCAACCACACTCATGGATGAAACAAAAGGGAAAGCATGAAGTAAAACACAGGCTGAAAAATGAATAGTGATGGAAAGGTCTGGGGTGAGAGGAGCTCTAAAGAGGAGGCTTGCCCCAGTATCTCGTGTGACTTACACAATCTGTTTAACAGCGATCGGTCATGTTCTTTCCCTGACACCAGCCGCAGCAGCAGCTCTGTGCTGACAGGCAGCGGGGATAAATGATTACTGACATATGCTAATCGGACAGTCTTAGACAGGACGTAAGAGGAATACATCAAGGTGGTGCAAAACACATTTCTTGGTTGAAACTCTCCAACTTGTACAAGTAAATTAGCTTCAGGAAGTCTCTGCAACTGAAGTTAAAAATCAACAGCGTGGCGCAAAAAAAAATAACCCCATCAGAATGAGGGCTGGGGTGGAGGGCTGAGAGGCTCTTTGCAGGGGTATCTATCAATGCCAGATATGATTTTGGCCATGTGAACTCCCTGCAGGGTTTCAGTGCTTTCAGACTTTCTGGTGTCTCCTTTCCATTCCCCGTGCCCAGCTCCTTTCCCTTCCTTCCCAAAATGCCCCCTAGCTCTTCACTTGAAGTTTTCCTGTAATTTCGGCCACAAACAAAGCTAACAGAATTCAAACAAGTACCCCAGAGCACAGTGGGATGAGCAGAGGAATTCAGGGAGATGTTTAGATCCCATTGCTAGAACGAGAAATCTTCACCTTGGCTCTTATTTGGATCAATTAAAGGAAGTGTCACACACATCTATAACCTGGCTAGACTCTTTGCTCAGTCGTGGGGTGAATATTGTCAATCAGGTAGCTTAGAGAGGTATCAAGAGTGCAGACTTTCTTGGAAGCTCTAACTCTTGGTGTGAAAATGCTTCTTGAAACATCTGGTATGATTGAATTACTTATGGTGAGAGCTGATAAAATGGCAGGCCACCAAAATGCCATTCTGGTTTGACTGTCCTGCTCATGTAGGGCAGTTGTGGGACTACCAGCAGAGAGCAAAGGCCATCCCCATACTACCAGGGAGATAAATAGATGCTTCTTATCTAGTGAAGCTCATAGAAATGCACACTAGTTAGAAAATAAGTCATTAAGCCCTTATCTGGGCAACTGCTGCCTGTCCTCCAGAGCTTATGGCTGCAGAAAATGTCCCACCTTGAAGTCCAGAAGGAGATGATATTTGAATACATCCAGTATGGGAGTATTTTGTGGGCTGGGTCTCGGGAAGCTCTGAGGTAAGAGCCTTGTGTATACCTTCATGATGTGGTAAGGGTGTTATCAGGGCATGCAGGCAAGGTTGGAAGTTGTCCCTGAGTTCAACCAAGTGCTCCATACCTTCTCCAAGCGGGGCAGGTGCCAGAAGGACTCCTCCTTTGCAGGTGGTGGGTGTTTTCGCAGGAATGTGGTGCGAGTTTCACGTGTTCTTTCCTTCTGTAACCAAAGGTAAACAAGAATGAGCTGAAATGGCTGCAGAGCTATAGACATCACATCGGTGTCGTGCAATGTAATGGTTCTGGGATGAAAAAGACTAAAAGTCGCTTTGGAGTGATGATCACAAGTGCCTGATCTGGGTAGTTTTTCATGTCCATGCAGCTAATATTGATATCTAAAATATACTGATGAGAAAAACATGAGCAGGTGTCAGCTCTGAGTGTCAGTTTTACACAGCATCCCAGTGAGATGACCACTGGCCACAGGAAGCCCCATGCTCTGAGCTAGAGCAATAGCTCATCGCTAGCTGTGAAAGTCACTTCCAGCACCCTCACCATGGTGGGGCTTCCTGGCTGTCCAGTGTGTGCTGCTCTCCCAAAGAATTGCAGCTTGTAGGGTTTGATAGTCCCAGCACAAGGCAGTGCAGGTACCCGGTGAATGTTCTGCCCACTGCGTGAAACCCTGGGGAATCTGCTCTGTGGTCTAGGGTGTAGGTTTGTGTGGCTTAAATTCAGTAATTGGTAGCTGCAGGCTTTGGGAACTTGATGGAGGGATCCTAGTGATTAAAAACATCAGTTATTAATAGATAAAGTAGGGATGCACTTTCCAACATCCCAGGCTTGTGTATTCATAAAATAGCTGCTAATTAAGAACACTGTATTCTTGCACTTCAACTATAAAGCATGGTTTGTGATGGCAGTAAGCCCATTGAAATTGGTCATTACCATATTAGCTCGACTCTTCTTTGAGCCATTAACTAATAAAACAGTCATTGGCTGCTTTTAAATGTTATTATAATATTGGTGTGTTTAACAGCCCAGCGTTGCACTCCAACAACTGCTGTGGGTGCTGGCATCAACCACACACCACGGCAGGATCAGAGCTGGGGCTGGTCCTTTGAACATTTGTGGGCTGTTCCATTGTTTTGTTCACTGTCAGAGGTAACCTGAGCGGAGCTGATGCTGCCCAAAGGACAGTCTGCAGGGCTCCTGGCACGAGGCTGACATAAATACCAAAGATAATTTGAAACTTAATTCTTTGTTACAGCAGGGTGTTTTATTATTGTGACGATGCAAAAAGAACTAGAGCCTCCTTTTTAATGGATTCTAGGAGTTTTGCTGGGTGACCTGTGATGTGAGGCACAATGATGCAGGCAGGTGGTTGATGATAGCTCAAAGGTGTCTCTGTGGTACAAGCATCTAAGCTTTTGAAAGGCCTTGGCCAAAGCACTGCTGCCCTGGAGAACTTGCTCACCTCCGGTGTATATTTTCAGATACAAAAATATGTTAAAAAAAAAAAACCAAAACCAAACACCTTCCCTTTTGTCACTAGAGCACTTTCATGCACACACAGTGTGATTTGCATATCTGGTGCTCACTCCTACAGCATCACCCCACAGGACATACTCTGGCTGAAGCCAGGACTTATCTTGGCTGGGAAGCAGCTGATATTTGTTAGGCTTCACCAGCCTTCTAACAGTCAGGGAGGATGTTTCCCAGCTGAGAGCCCTTCCTATGGCTGGGAGAAGTCCATCCATCGTGGGTCAGGACAGTGGGGGGTTATGCCAGGTGCAGTGCAGTGCACAGCAAGGGAAAGCACTGCTGGAATATTATCACCTTTTTCTTTTCCGCTCGCTTGGCTGCTGTGCGGGCTCTTTGCTGCTCCATCCACAGCTCCTTGTATTTGTGTTGGAGGAGGTCATAAATGGGACTGGAAGACCTGGAAAACATTGAAAAGACAATGGTACAATCTCCAGGGTTAATGACTCTCTTAACCTCCCTGTGCTGACTCATATCTCTGCTCCTGGAAAGTGTGGACTGTGGCTCAACCTTGGACTCTACTATGGCTCCAGGAGAGTATTTTCCAGCTGGTACCTGATGGTGGTTAATGAAAGCACTGAATGGGGCAAGGTCCAGAAGCAGAGAGCTGAGCCTTTGCATTGCCACCCTGGAGCTCAGAGGAGCAGCTCTGGCTGTGACCAGCTGAAGGCAGACCTTCACAGCCCAACACAGCCGTGGCAGCTGCCTGGGAAGAATTACTGGGTGCAAAGTGTTTTGCTAAAATAAGACTGCTTTTGCTATTAAAATATCAATACTGTGATATACCAAAAAGCCGCTAACAGATGCGATGATGGATTGGGTGGGAGGAGTAGGTGCTGTCCTAAGCAATCTGACTAGGGATAAAAATGGCCTCAATGCAGATGGTCAGGTGTCTGCAGCAGAGAGGGGAGATGAACTGTTGAGCCCTGGTCTAGTGCCTCAGCTGTGCAGACCAGATGTATTTGCCCCTTGAAACAGGGTACCAGGGAGCATCCTGGCCAGGAGGAGACAGCAGCAGAGAGGAGCTGCACATGACCATGATTCTAGAAAAACAGTAAAAATAAAAGGCAGTTGCTTGCTGGCCAGTGTCCCATTCAGCTGCTCTGAGCTGACATTAACCTCACCAGCTTGTAGTGGAGCTGAAGCCTGAAAATGTTGAGCCTTGCTCCTTGCAAGTGAGGATACTTTAACTTCATCAGTCGCTGGCAGCAGCAGGGTTCTTGCCTTGAGGACAGCACATCATTTATTCTGTTGCTCCAGGCAGGGTTCTTGCCTTGAGGACAGCACATCACTTATTGCTGTGCTTGTGCTGCTATTCTCTTCCTCCTCAAGCAAACGCTTGAGGGTGATGGAGGCCCTTGAGCTTAAGTTTTGTTGGTCCTTGGCCTTGCACGTCTTGCTGGGGAGGAATCTTTCCCATCTCAGCAGCAACCAGTGACGGTGTGGAGCCATCAGCCCCAGCTCTGCTCCCACCTGTAGCCCTCAGTGCCTTCAGCTGCAGCTCCCATAGCAGAAAGGCAGCACTTTCCCTGCCTGTTTGGACCAACTGCAAGACACTGGGGACCTGGCCTCACTGCTGGGCCACCAGCTCCACCAGAAGGTGGTTTTCTGCAGAGAAAGCCCATTTGCCATGGAGTGAGCTGGTGCTTTGAGGCTTTTGGCAGGAGTGGGTCCCAAATCAGTAGAAGAAAGCTTTTAGCAGTCTGGAGAATCTTTGACGATCACGGAGGGCGCCAGCAGCGTGTATGCAAATAGTAACTCTTCTGTTTCTTCTTCCTTCACCCCTGTGGTGACTTTTATTACTTAATTATTGCACACCACATGCTTCAAAACAGCCTAATCTATGGTTGTGTTTTCTAATGATGCTAGATGTGCGAGGCAGCAATATACATCCCAAGGGGGCATTCATGTGAGAGGAGACATCCTTCTGCAGACCTCCTGTTTCATAGATCACATGCTGCAGGGCTTTTCAAGGCTTTCCTTACAAATCAGCTGGGATGCTCCAGACTGTTATCTCAAGACACCCTGTGCCAAAGGGGACAACTAACATTTACCCTTTGTCTTCCCCTCTTCTCCCCACTGCTTTCCTTCCAGTTTGGCATTTAACCCTGATGAGAGCTAGGTGTAATACAAGGGATTAGGTGTTACAAGGGATAAATGATGTGGCAAACCTGCAGTTGTGTCTTATTGTCTGGGTGAGTCTCCAGTCTCATTGCCTGGTGTAAACTTTGGTTGTCCTGGCACAAGCACATGGTGAGCCTTGCACGTGGGCTTGTTTCCTTGGCCCATGTCTCTTTGTTCTCCAAGGCAGGAGCTTTCCCAGTGTGCAGGAATAGCAGGGAGGGATGCAGGAAAACACTGAGCCTTTGTGTGTAGTGTTTGATTATTGATTTTTGTGGTAGCTGAGTGTGTTTTCACATCTCTATGGAGGTGACTTTTACCATCTCCAGTGGACCAGCCAGTTGGTGACTGATTAGTCCACAGCTGGCTTGTAAGTAAATGCTTGAAAGGACACATTTGGGTTGATGCTCTTCAGAGATCCTTCCCTGCCGTGTGATTAATCGCATTTAAGTCCTGATCCAGCAAAGTATAGAATCACGCCTGGAATAATACACGCATGAACTGCCTCTTTGAAATGGATGGGAATGACTCGTGTCCTTAGTTATACACGTAGGCTCTGGTGGGGCTGTAGGACGTGAGGCTTTGTCTGGCTCTTCCTGCCTCCTTTGGGAGTAATACTGAGAACGTGGGGAAGAGCAGGGGATATCAGGTAACACTTCTTTGACTAAAGGTACTGGAGGAATTTAAGTGAGGTGGCCTTTTTCTTTGTGGGTCAAACAGTGATCTCGCTGGAGTGGATGGGGAATTTTGGCCCCAATATCAGTGCTGCTGGGCAGTGTGACAGGATTTCTCACTTGCAGCTGGCCTTTGGGCAAATGTCCTCTCACCTTAGTGTTTGTTAAGGACAGGAAGGAACGGTTTGTGTGTTCTGTTTCCTTTTGTCACCTGCCCAGGTGTCACCCCTCTGAACTGGGAGGAAGGACAGGAAGGAACGGTTTGTGTGTTCTGTTTGCTTTTGTCACCCTGCCCAGATGTCACCCCTCTGAACTGGGAGGGTTTTGCTGTTGTCAGCTGTGGGGAGAGTGGGGGAAGCATCCGCTGAAAACACTTATTGCTGATTAAAATCCATCTTGTTCAGAGTAACTCAGATCTCCTTGTTTTGGCACAAGCACCCTGCCACAGAAAGGGAAGGGAAAGAAGTTCTAATAGGATGTAACAAATTATTTATAATTGTGGCATAAAAATAATCAGCTTCTTCCTTTTATAGTCAAATAGTTGGAGCCACTTCTAATGCTGACATTTCCTAAATATTTTAAAATTTATCTGTGCACATTTTCAAAACTATTATCCCTGAAACAGTTCCTGTCTCTTTAATAGACTCTCTCTCTAATTTACTTTCAAGAGTCAGGGTACAGACCTATTTTCAACTGAAATGACAAGCACCTGCTAACTTGGTTATACAATGTGGTGTGCTAGTCTGCCAGAAATTGCTTGCAAAAGAAGCTGCAGCCTCCTAATAGGCTATTTTACTGTGAAAACAATGTTAAAAAGTATAATAAAGTATTAACAATATTAAAATAAAACAGTGTAGGCCTTAAATGAGCTACAAACTAGCTAAATCTATTCTATTCAATATGAGCCTTCAGTGCTTTGCAGCTGATACCTCAGAGCTGGGATTTATCTAAAATGAAGGCACCAGGGACATGCAAGAGAAATGGTAATTATAATTTGCAAACATTAGGCTGACACTTTTTTTGTGTATGTGTGTATAAATTCTGACAGCTGTGATTTGTGCCGTGCCAAATAGTGCTCCACCGAGCTGGGCAGGGCTCCCTTTCTGGCAGGCCATCCTCAGAGCAGCAGCTCATTAAAACTTTGGAGAAGGAGAAGTTGCCGAAAACGGGAAGGCGTCAGAACCATCTGAGGGACTTTTGGTACACGCTTGTTGAAAGGTGTTTGAGAAGAGAGCCTTGGGTCTGACAAACTGGAATTTTAGTACGCCTCTCCGTTCACAGTGGGGCAAAATAATTGGTCATCAGTGACTACTAATTTGGTTTAGTAGCCAGAGGCGTTTTTTTTCTTCCCAGAAAATCAATGACAGTGCCGAGGTCTGTTCAACGTGATTCAGCTCAAGATGGGTCCTCATTTAGCTCTTGATGCTTCTTCCACTGGAGACAGCTATTTTGTAAAATGAAATTAAAATCTATCTATAATATTTGGCTCAGGGAGCAGCACCCGTCAATGCCATGCCGCTCTTGAGGTTTCAAGGTTGTCAGTCTCCCCTCAAACTTATTTTCAAAGGTTTATATAGCAACTGAAAAAAAGGTACTTGGCAAAAGTGGATACAAAGGACTTTGCTCAGGAAGGGGGTTTATACCAGCTTAAAAGGTGCAATCAATTTGATTGGTAAGTTCTGTTGTAAAAGGGTAAAAACTTGACTTGTGATTGCCTTTTTCTTGTATAATTCAAAAGCGCAGGGGCTTGTAAATATTTTAGTGCAAACTTCAACCCTTGGATTTTCCAGGTAGGTCTCCAGCCAGTGCAGACAGCTTCTCTTCCTGCTGCTGGTGAGGATGGGCTGTGGTGGGGAGCAGAGAGAGGGAGCAGAGGACACATACACAGGCATCGATTCCCCTGCAGCTCTGCAGCTGTTTGGGCTGTGCCAAAAACACTGCTCTGATCTCAATGGCAGCAGGATCTGGCCCTGCGTGGGTGTTTCTGCAACAGATAAATCATAGAATGGAACTTTTTATTTTTTCCCAGTTGTGATACTAAACCTGTGTGGCAACACCACTGCCTACCCTGAAACTTTAACCCTTTCTTGAAAGGTTAGTGAGGTTCCTGGGGAGTTTAATCGTGGAATCATTGAGGTTGGAAAAGACCTTTCAGAGCAAGTCCAACCAAGTCCTTGCTGATGTCCTTCCTGCTCAGATGACCTGCTTCTGTTGCACAGCCAGGATTGTCTTTGGGGTCTTCAGTCCACGGAGGAGACTGCTGCAAGGGGCACCACCTTTGTACCCCTTTCTTGTGTGCTTCACGATGTGAAGGATTTGTTTTGGGGCAGTAGTGTCCATATAGACATCTTCCCCTTGCTGGAGCAGCCAAACCAGCTCCCACCACCTCAGGCTGGTTTCTTACTGGGAACCAGTTGGGTTTTCAGCATGGAAAGTCCCACATCTGGAATGTGGGACTCCCCAGTGCAGCCAGTGCAGATTATCTTCAGCAAATAAAGCACAAACTGGGGTCTGTGATTCTGCTCGGGGCCTTGGAGCAGCAGCAAGACATTAATGCTCAGGTCCCTCTGCCCTGAAAGGGGGCTGATAGCACAGGAAAACTCTG